TTTGAAGAAATATTGGGGGTTTGTTCTTCAAGTTTTTCATAAAAACAAGTTTTTGATCGAGTTTTGGGCTTAAAAGGGGTGAAAAACGCCGTTTTTCCGTAATTTGCGAAGAGTTTGCGGTCAGAAGAAGCATTCACGGCCGAACCGAAGCAGCTTTTACGGCCGACTTCGGACGTTTTCGGCCACGCACGTGTTCGGTTCATGTTCAACACGTATTCGGTCCAACCTCGTTTGCGGTCAGCCAGCCGCCTTACCAACTCATCTAGGATGCCACATGCTTAACTCCTTCCCGATTTAATTCAAAAAGACTCGCTGCTTCGACCATAATTTCGCAATTTTGACATTTTTGGCCCAAAAATTCAATTTTTTGAATTTTAAAATTCCATTTTCAACCCAAAATTTTGGTTTTTAATTTTTGACTTTTGACTTTGACTTTCAAGTTTGACCTTTGACTTTAAACTTTGACTTTTTCGTTTAACCTTCAAATTTTTACTTTTAGCTTTTCGGTTTGACTCTAAGTTTGACTTTTAAATTTGAATTTTTAAGGTTGACTTTTGAGTTTTTAGTCAAAGGGTATTTTTGGTAAACAATGAGTTCTTCAAACATTCCGGTCAATCAAGTTTCATGTTCTCAATCGTATGAAGCTACGATTAAATTTCTTCGTGAACAAAACGATTTACTAAAAAGAGAAAATGAGGACCTTAAATATGAAGGATATACTCTTAGGAAGGCCCCAAAACCCTTAAGAACACAACTGGAGGCTAAAACTAAGGATTTTAGAAAACTTCAAGAGGAATATAGCAACAAATGTGAAAACTATGACTATTTTAAGAGACATCTTGCCAAATTCACTACCGAACTTGATGCATTGAAATCTAAATATAATGATGATGAATTCACGTTTAAGAAATTTGACGTGTTAAGTGAGGTAGTTGCATCCATGATTGAAAAACAACTAAAGTTCAAAGATAATCAAAGTAAGGGTCTAGGGTATAATAGTGTTCCACCTCCCTTCAATGACAACTATAACCCACCCCTTGAGACCAATGAGGAAGAAATTTATGTTCAGTTTGGCCCACTCCCCGAACAAGGTTCAGTTAATACTGAACAATCTGGGTCAACTGAGAATATTAAGGTGAACATTTTTGATGATTCTACTTCTTGTACAGGTAAAGTAATTGAAGATGAGAATAAGGACAACACTATTGAAGAAACCAATGACTCCTTGAACTCTGAATCTGTTGCTTCTAACTCAGTTACTTCTAAACCTGTTGTTGGTAAATACAGGCCACCAATTCAAACTAAATAGAGTGCCTGTTGCAAGTGTGCTTGTGGGAACAATCAGAGACAAGGCAAGGGCACACCACCAGGGGCAGGAAGAAACAATTCCTACATGAAGAAAAAGACACGTTTTCATTGTGGAACACCTGGACACATTTCCAGAAATTGTCAAAATCGTGCATACGTTCCCTATTACACATAAGGATGGCAAATGCTCAAAGAGGGAACTTTTCCAAAAGAGCCCCTTCAAAGTCACAATTGCCCAATGGTGACTGGAACGAGCAGAAGGCCAATATGTCGAATCCAAAAGATGCTCCAGTAAAAACCAAAATCAGTTAGATCAAAGTTATCTCGGCGACCGATTTTAGGTTCAAAATCAAGTGTCGAGCCGCCCATCTGATCGAACAAGAAATGGGTTAAACCCAACTACAGATGGGTACCAAAGGTTCAATCACCCAAATCTTCTAATGATTCTAATATTTCTACATTTTCTGTTTGTGATAAGCAGGATATGTCATGGGAGAGAGTACCTTGCAAGGATGAAAAAAGGTCGACCCAGTTTCAAAATGGACTGGGTTCCAAAGACCAACTGATCTCGCTCTGTGATGGAGCAGCTATGGAGTCATATCATCAGACTTCAGTTTGTTGGTAGTGGCTGTTCCAGGCACATGATAGGGGACATCTCTCAACTATACAACATTCAAAACTTTGTTTAATAGTATGTGTGCTCTGCGAGAAGGGAAGAAAGGAAAGGATCACACATAGGGTTTTGTGCTTAACAATGTGAAGATTGTTTGGATCTGTTCTGAGATTATGTGTGCTGTTCTCGGACCTTCTGGATGCAAATTCAATCGGTGACTTACGGTTTGAGTTTTCCTCTCGATACTCTTGAGTTTACCTTAAACTGATTCGTTTTGAAGACAATCTTTTATTTTCTTTTAGTTTTTCGTTAGTAGGTATTATTGGGAAGTGATATGAAGTCTAGTGCTGAAGGGCAATCTGAAATTTGTGTAAAGCACTGAAGCTAAATTGTTTAGACTCTGTGTTCAATGTGCTGGTAGGCACGAAGGATTTCAATGGACCAGACTAGATTTAGATTGACATTTTAAAAGGACTTGACAAGTACTGACTTAGATAGTTCCGTTTGGTCTGTCAATATGACGCTCGAGTAGATTGAGCAGTAAGATATACATGGGAATCTATGGGATACACTAAATAATATGTATCTAGAATTGTGGTTTAACATTGTTATTTCTGTTTTATTTCTTTTTCAGAAATTTCAAAAATCCAAAAATATTTTTGTTTATGTTTTTTTTTTTGAAAATATGAAAAATCCAAAAAATATTGTGTGCTAAGTTTTCTTTTAGTTTTGGTTTTTATCTCAAAATTTCTTTGTCTTGCACTACTAGAAAAACAGCCTTTTACGACGCTCATTGCGCGTCGTAAAACGCTCAGACGACGCGCAAATGCGCGTCAAGGAAGGCCCTGTCATAAAGAGAGATGACGCGTTTTTGCGCGTCGTCTATAGACGACGCGCATTTACGACGCGCATTTATGACGCGCATTACGACGCTCATTTACGACGCGCAATGCGTATCAAGGAAGGCCCTGTCACAAAGGAAGAGACACGCATTTGCAGGTCGTAACCTTACGACGCGCGTGTTTATGACACGCATTGCGTATCAAGGAAGCCCCTGTCAAGAAAGGCCATGTCATAAATGAAGATGACACACATTTTTGCGTATCGTAATTTTATATGTTTTAAAAAAAATATTTTTTCTAGATTTACTAATTTTTGAATTAAATTTTCATTTAATGTCACTTAATAAATAAAATATCATATACAAAAATACAATTCATTGCACAAAATATAATGTCATACAAATAATCGTTCCATGGAAAGATAAAACAAATCAATAAAAGTTATAACGGAAATTTACAAACTAATTAGATACAAGAAATATGAAAAAACTTGAAATCTCTAAGATTAATAATTCTAGCAGAAGCTTCACGTGAGATACATACAGTTGGACCAGTAAGCATGGATGTTCCCGAATCCACAATAGCAGCAGAAGAACATGTACACGATATCTTTTGCAAGAAGGTGCCTGTCCAAAACTACTGTTGAAGGTTGCCATGATAGCTGTTAAGATTTAAGCATAACAAGAAACCAATCAGTGACTATAATAAGCTAGAAAACAAGCAACTAATAAACAAAATAAGCAACTAATTAAGTCAAAACTATGACTATGTATTGTTCATACAAGAAAAAGAATGAAAAAAATGTTGATTTATTGTTGTTCATACAACACTCTCCAGACAACACTTAATTGAAGAAAAGAATAAGGCTAAACTTACAAAGAAAAAGAATTCAGGAAGAAGACAAGTTTGAAAGCATACAAAATAACATTTAGCCAAGCAAGTGTGATCTACTAGTAAACTTGAAAACGCAAAATTCTGAGTAAATGACCTAAATACCCTCAGAATCGTTAATCATAATAACAAGTAACAGACCTTGTAGGAGGCAATGCAGAGGTCTGGCCAGATGGCATAGCATGATAAGCACCATCCATTGTGATATAAGGTGAAGCAGCCAAAAGCCCCAGCAGCACCAGCCAAAATAGGTAGCCTACAACAAAATTTCACAATTTAACCATTTAATCACCTAACTATTATTATCTTAAATATTTATTTACTTATATATATTTAACGTACCATGTCATTTCTGAATTCCCCATTCCATTGGGCTGAGTAACGTAGCCAGGGAACGCCATGCCAACAGCAGGAACTCCAATATTAGTTCATATATTGTTCGTATCATTAGTTCATTAGTTACAATATTATAATTTTGTAGGTTTTCAAAGTATGATCTCTTCATAAAAAAACTATTGAAAGTAGGATGTTATAATAAACAAATAAATGAAAGTACCCCGCTATTTTTTGCATTTATCCCAGTTAACTCAATTACCTTCAATTATCTTGAGTTGCATCCTTTTTAACAATGTTCCATTTGGATTTTAAAGCTTGAACGCATAAAACATAAAGTGAAATTTAAGAAGCAACAACAGATATACATTTGTAAATTTGGTATTTGGATCTAGCAACAAAATGAATAATGTAGTTGGTGGTTACCTTTAGTTACTTGAGATTTGTGTAACGTGCCTACCTGTTTCACTTAATGCAACAGCAGTCATAACTTTCTTCCTGTATGAACCAACATCATTTCATGCCCATCTACATCTGCTCCTCTACATCAACTTATCTTCACCATTGCTAACCCAAACAAACAAAGCCACAAACAACAATTAATTATACAAACATAGATTCACAATTATAAAATAAATTAAAAAACTTTACTTGAAATCAACACCATAAGAAGCACTAAGAGCCATGACACGACTTGGATGGAAAATAATAGCAGAAACTACAGCATCCCTGTAACCATCACATGTTCAAAAAATGTTATACACGAAAAAAAATCTATATACATATTAAATAAAAAGATTTTATAAACAGCAAAAAACAACCTATGGGGCACATATATAACAATAGACAAGGTAAAATCATTGTTGTGTGGCCCACATTCCCAAAACTTGTGTGTTACAAAACCTCCTATTCCTTGTTCATACATTCTGGTTTCAACAGTACCCATCACAGGGCCATGACACGAACAACAACAACTTCTAGACTATTAGCACCATGTCATTTGTTAGTATCTGCTATTTGTTCATGGTGTTTAGGCGAATGGTGGATGATTTTGTTTCCAGAATCCACTTTTCGTAATTTTCAACCTAAGAAATTAGAATTTGATAAGAGAATATAAAAAGTAAAGTATATAAAAATAGAAATAGAAGACTATTAGGATCACCTCAGCTAGCATCTTTGCACAGAAATCTGGGTGGAGCATATCGAATGTGAAAACTCCTGGAACAAGTTCAGACATTATGTTTCTGATACTTTGATTTCTGCTGACATCATCATTAGCCATGAATGCGTTTATGAAAGAGGGCACAAAGAAGCTTGAGGGATTCAGTTCATATAGTTCTCTATGAAGAGGCTGAAAACCAAGGAAAAGGAAATCAGTGATTGCTGATTATACAACATATAAAATATAAAATATATATCAAATATATTACCTGATAATTGTATATGATTCTTTCCCTGTATATGTTGTGCTTCTTAGCTTGTTGAAAGTGATGAAAAAGATGGATTAGTTATTAAAATAGACTTTAACATATAAACTTCAAGTCATTTAAGACGATTAAGGAAAATTTCTTACTGTATTTCATTCGTTATAATGGTCGATAATTAAAGAATTTTTCTATATAGGGAAGTATTATATTAATGATATGAATTCTAATTATTGTAGGTTATTGAACTCATATGAAGAAAAAGGTGCTTAACACATGTAATCCCCAGCCTTTTAACATAGACTTGAATACAATCACTCTATGCATAAACGTTTTGTCAACTTTATGTGTAAAGCACTAATTGTGTTTGCTTCCTAAATAGAAAAAACACAGGGAACATAGAAATCACGGGTACCATGATTTCCTAATGCCCAAATGTTGACAATAAATTTGGTGCAGCAGGTGACAATGCAACCGCAATAATCCTCATTGCTTCTAATAATCACAAGGTCCTGCTCCACAAGAAAAAAATAAGAATTCTAAATGTACAAATTCAACCCTTTTCATGAATTGTTTTTGTCTTCAAATCAATATATTATCTTCGGTTGATGATATCTAACAATTGGAGTTAAAGTTGTAACATATTTTGCATTTAAATGGTTGGATATGAGGAGTTATAGAATGAAGTAACTTACAAAAAAAAACATTTATTAGTAATAGCAAACTGTAATAAACTAATAATCACTTTAAATGAACATACATATAGTACTTAAGGAGTTAAGTCAATGGAGTACGAGCTCATGGGTAATAACTTGAAAATTATATTCAGGAATCTTACCAGCTTCTCTACATTGTCCTTGAAGGCATTTCCTTCAGCTGCAAAAGTTATAAAGCTTTTGTATTGCTGGAATGATTTAGCAACACTGCCACCAAATAACTCTGTTTGACTTTGAGTTTTGACCAGAATTTCAATTCAAAACCCCCCTTTGAAGGAATCTAGACTACTGCAACAGTTTGAATGTTTTGACAGAAGGGTCCTCTAGTAGCACAGAGGACCCTTCAGTGCTTTTGAAAAGCTAGTGTAGTGATGTGGATTCAGAGTTTGTTAATAACTGAATTTTATAATGTCAATGAAGTGGACCCGAGTGTATGCATTATTACTAATTTTATAACAACATAATGGTTTTTAAATTTCTTCCCATACTATTTCAATTCATATATAGCTGCCAAAATCAAGAATAAAAAGTGAATACGAGAAGAGTACTAAACATATATATATATATATATATATATATATATATATATATAATATATATAGATATATATTATATATATATATATCAATCTGTTGCTTATCAATTAATAATGGTTATTAATAACCACTCACAAATACTTTTTAATTCACAACAGATTGTTAGTCTTATAATTTTTATTGATTTCATTTTACAAAACTTAATTAGAAACCGGGTACCCGGTATCGGAACCGGTGCGGCGGTTCCGGTTCCGGTTCCCAAGTTTCAAGAACCGGCGGTTCCGGTTTCGGTTCCAGACAATTAGGCCGGATACCCGCCTATGCTTATCCCTACATCTTACAATCATATATGGAAATAAGAATTGTTCGGCGACTCAATAGATATTTTATTACAAACAAGTAAAAATATCATTAACCTTTAACTTCATATGTCTGGATCCTTACAAGGCACAAAGCAGACATCAAGAAAAAAAATGTTAACATCTTCCATCATTACTCTATCCACTTCACAGCTATGTCTAAACTGCAAAAATGATGAGAACTTACATTTTATCGAACATTTGGTAGGAATATGATCGAATCCACTTTGAAGTTGTTTATTTGTAGCATTTCTAAACTGCAAAAAACGATGAGAACTTACACTTTACCCCTTGATCCAAACAAAACTTTTTTTTCATAGCACACAAATCTTGTAGATATTTACCTGAACCAAAGAGATAATTATTGTTCCACAACCATTGGAGATTTTTATTTTATAAGACATGAACATATGCTAAATCTCGAACTCCACTTACGGTAATGACCAAACTGCCCTTGAGCCAACATCAATCACCTCCAACCCACATGCTGCCACGTCAGTAGCAACAAGAATTGGAGTCTTCCGACTCTTAAATGACCTCAATGCCAACTCCCTTTCCTATCAATAAAAAACAAAAATTAGAAATTAACTTTTATTCATTTTTTTAACTTTAACTCTATTTTTTTTTACCGGTTGTGTTTTGTCTCCATGAATTGTAGTAGCGGGAAAACATTATATAAATTAAAAACTATATATTAAAATGATTCAAATTAATAAAATAAATTAAAAACCTGGATTTCTCTAGGAAAAGTGGCACTGAAAAGCATTGTTTGTCTTCCAGGAGGTGGAGGCATGTCTGTTTGTTCCACAATTTTTCTTATTTGAGGCTCAAATCCATATCCAACATACGATCAGCTTCATCAAGAGCTAAATACCTTACCATTTGTAATGACACTTTTGCCCTTCAAGTAAATCAACTAATCTTCCAGGTGTTGCCACAATTAAATCAACTAGCTTCATCTTTCTTTCCCGTTCTCTGTTTCTTTGCCTTGGTGCACAAGGTGCAGGGGAGTAAATCTACACATTTAAGATAATAGAAGTAGTGAAATTAGTATACTATAATATGATCTTACCCATTACTATGAAAAATTATTTATCTCTATCAATAAATATCAATATCAATACCTACCTTCACATGAATGGTGTAAATGGAAAGGAAGAAGTAAGATGTAGGCAGCCCCTGGCCCCTGAGTGGATGATCTCTTTAACCTATAGGATAATGATTTTGTCTTCTCTTAGATAATAAATAATAACTACAATCCCATATACATTAAGACATGTATACTGAGTTTCTTGGACTTTGTTGCTCTTTCTGCAAGAACTTTCATATCGGTACCACTAGTTGAAACATAACAAAAAGTCTGCCTCAGTTCACCTATTGTGTCTCTGTTAACTAAACTAATGCAACTGAAAACTTGTACACCTCAATGAGTGAATATCACACATAGACATGACAACATCCACAACACTCTATAAAATATGATCTCATGCATCACACTAAACTGGAAACAAGGTAAAATCAATGAGTTCTTGTAGTCTAAAAATGATACTCAAACAGCTTTGGAAATATCTATATACAGCCATAGCAGGTACCTGAGCTGTAAATTTCTCATCAACCAATGAGATGTCAACAAGCACGATCCATTCTGTAGAAGGTTCCCAAATGATGAATTTAGCATGAATGATTCTAAAGGCGATCGGTTCCCGGACTCCCACTCAGAGTAATCCTCAACAAAACTGCCATTTTTATGGGAGGATTATTCATTTTTCAATATTTGTGTGGTATTATGTGTTTCTGTGTAGATGAAATTGAAGAGAGAGAGAGAGACTGAGAGGGAGAGAGGAGAGAGGAGAGAGAGATTACCAGATGGGATGATTCTCAGCCTTACAAAGTTCGTGCTCTAGTTCTTTTCTAAGAATATCAGCAGAATGAAAGAAGATTAACTTCAGTAGATAACAGAATGAGTGTGGATGGGTCCGTTATCATCATCAAAAAGCTCTGATCTTTCTGGTAGTATAGGACTGTTGAGTGTGAA